TTTTAATATCTCAGAGCTAGCTGTAGGGATCCAATTATTTTCAGTTTGGATACATTTCCCCTTTATCAATATCTCCATGTGCATAAATAAGATGAAAGCGGAGTTCCGGAATCAAAAAGAGACGGAACTCACATCACTGGGCAGACTTGTTCCATCTGGAAGTGTGCGGCCAGTGTCTCCCACGCGCATTTCTGATGTCGGGCCCAAAATCTTCCTGTGGAAGGCGACATCTTTTTATAGGTTAAAGACAAGAAGGGAGTTTAGGCACGGAGGTGAACTTACAAACAATGGGGGGAAGAAAAAGAAAAAGGACGCTAAAAAAGGGAAAGGAGCGCATACTAAATCAGCAAACTCCGTTCCCTTCCAGCTGGCATCAAAGAGGTAATGGGTGACTTCACTTGCGCTCAGAGTTTCTCTCAAGAGCTATTTCAACGGAATTGAAAACACTGTTCTCCACTTCCAGGTTCCTTTGATTACCTGGCCCAAATCAGCAGGCTCCCAAGCCACCATGTAAACAGGCTACCAGCACTGAAATGCAAATAGCAGCAAGTCCCTGCTGGGCCTTGGGGGCCAAATGCCTTGACACCCAGACACAAAGATGGAGATGCGGTGCCATGCAGAGCACGGCGTCTGCCAAGGGGAACGCGGCACCAGAGGGGTCTGCTCCGTCCTGCCAGGAAATCACTTGCACTGCAGCCAATCCCAAATGCTTCTAAGTGCAACGGGGACAGCAATAAAGAAGAAGAACGGGCCAGGGTGCTGCCTGGCAGCCGTGGGAACACCACTGTGCAGCAGCGAGGGAGAGAGGGCGTGCGGATGGGTTCACCGAGATGGCTTTGCTGCTGCAGCAAACGTCAAAGCCCCAGTTTCACTCGTGAACACATGAGGAGTTCCAAGCCCCCGAAGTAAAAAGAGCACCTGACATGTGTTCCGTGATGAGTCCCTGCTTTGACTCATGCACTCACTCAGTCATTCATTCATTCAGGAGACATTCACTCGACTGTTTTAACATCACCTCTGAGCTTATTACTCTTGCCTTTGAAAGGGTCACCCATCAGCTTGGCAACTTCTCCCTACAGTAATACCATGTGCCCCTAACACTGGAACCCAGAGCCCTGCCTGCCTGGCGGACCTCGGCCCAGCTGCTCCGTGCCCTACAACGTGCTATGTTATGGCACCGCACAGACACACCAACAGGGTGTCAAGAAGTCCTGTCCTACCAACAGCTGACTGCTCCCTTCTGAAACCCCTAAAACCTAGTCAGTGTGGTCCACTGTGACCACTTGACCGCTTCAGCATCCCCACTTAAAATCAATATTTTAAGTGTGTGCTTAAATGGCATCAATAGCAATTAGAGAGGGGAATTCTGATTCTACCCCAGATGTAGTTAATTGTTGTGGCATTGATCTGTTCTCTAACACGCTTCTTTCTACAAATTAAACCCCCATTACAGAGGGAGACGAAGGGCGTCCTCTCCCCTCCTGTGACAATAAATTTAATATCGAATGCACTGGGAAAAAATGGCAGTTGTTGCAGAATCCATCCAAAAAGATTTTTTTTTTCTTCCTGGGAGTAATTAAAAGATGCTTTTCTTGACTAATGATTCCCCTGTTTAGGAATGGGAAGTCAATACTGATTCAGCCGCCGTCAGCTTCGATTGATCACGATGCTGCTCAAGTTTGAACGGCAGTTCTCAGGGCGGCAGAGATTCACTGGAACCAATTATAAGCTGTCTGAAGCTGCCCTAATCAGGGGTGTAGGGACATGGAAGAGGCCAGCTGTCCAGGGCGCCTGCTGTCCTAACTGGCCGCATGTCTAGTTGACTCTAGTGTGTGGGGGTTTCTCTGGAGGAAGATCTGTGTGTTCTACTTCCCTCATGGTCTTGAATCTGCGCGTGTGTGTGTGTGTGTGCACGTGTGTGTGTGTGCGTGTGTGTGTGTGTGTGCACGTGTGTGTGTGTGCGTGTGTGTGTGTGTGTTTGGGGGTGGGGGCAGGCGGAACGACGCATTTCTAATTATATTCCACTGTCAGAATGAATCTTCTGAACAAGATGGAATGGACCAGAGCTCCTTGGGAAAACAGATGGGCCCTTTTTCAAAGAATTACGCCGAATATACTGCACGTGGCTTTTCCTTCAACAGAGATAAAAAATTAAAATATTTCTTTTTGGTATTATCTCAGGGCCACATTAAAATAACCTTCCAACTGTTTCTATGAACAATCGTAGGTTCTGCAGAGACCAGGAGTGGTGGAGTGGGGCAGGGGGAGCAGGGGTGTCTTGGAAAGGCAGCATCTTCCCACATCATGGACAGAACTGCGAGTGGAGATTCCCGCCCTGACGTTCAGTTTTGCATTTCGGGTGAGGGGTAGTGCAGGAGGCGGTGAAGGTGGCTGGTGTCTACATTTCGGCTCTGCTATTGGGCTGGTTGTGTTTTGCTTTGGACAGTGTAGGTAAGGCTTTATGCATGGCCATCAGGGCCCTGGCCTTCCAGCTGGAAGGGACAGAGACCTTGCTGGCTGCCTTTAGTCCTCTTGGGAACAGGTGGGACACACAGAACCCATGAACAGATAAACCCCTTCCCTCTCCCCTACCCCCAGACTTCCCAGCCCTGGCTCAGGGACCCTCCCTGCTTCTGCTCTTTGGGCCTCCTCCATCCCCGCTCCTCCTCATTCATGGGAGGTTCCTGTCCCGTGGTGATAGACTTGCCAATATGCACACCTCCCCAGGGCCGTGTGGAGCCTGCATCAACTGAGGACGCTCCCACCCTCCAGCCTACTTCCCACCTGGCCCCTGGCCCTGGCCCTGGGAATCACCCCGTTTCAGAGTCCAGCTCAGATGCCATTTTTGCGGTGACACTTCCCAAATCGCACCTACTGCCGGCACCCTCCCGAGCCCTGGCATCCTCAGGGGACCTGAGAATGTTCACCAATCACTGGTGAGCTGCAGTCATCACTTACGGTTTCTTTTCTATGAGAAAGTGCTCAATGATTATTTGCGGATTTTCGCTGAAAACAAAACTCCCCAGGAAAATTACTACGGGCACAAAGAAACATTCAGTTCTCATATGTGTTAATCTTCTTAGGCGCAAAGGACATTTAGAAATTCTAGAGTTACCTTTAGCCACGGCAGGGAGCTACGTCACCAACACCACAGTCTTGGAGAGGAACTACAACTTGGCACTGCTCTTTAAGGAAAGCCAGTGTGACCAAAGAAAAGATGGGACTTAACTGCCACCACTGCGCTTGTGAGAAAGCAAGTCTCTGAAATCGTCTCTAAAATATAATGATATGATGCATATAACACTGGGAAAAGAAGATTGAGCTGTACATTCAAGAACTTAATTCAGGGACCCAAATGAGAACTATAAAATACCTATGCACACGCAGTCTTCATATACAAATGAAGATGAAGTCATATTTTTCAGTTAAAAATGATCCTATATCTTTGTTTCTAATAATTCTAAGTAGTTTCTAAATTTTAATGGATGCATAAACTTTTCTAATAATTCATGACATTAAAAATAATGTGCTGCTTCTACCTATAAACAGTAAGTGCATACAGTTAGTTTTTTCCAGCTTATTTCAATGTTTTCACATTCGTACATTAAACTCAACCCAATTTCCAATCACTGTTCATTTTCAGACCCAACTTTCCTCCAATGTTATATTTATGACAAAAACCAGATATTAAAGCATGAATTAATCTTTTAAGCATGTTCACAGTTGATGACCCAGCTGATTTCTATGGTAGTGTTAAAAAAAATCGAGAAAAATAATTTTTAAAGTGCATAATTTCTCCAGTTCGTAAGAAACTTACGCACGTTTACACTATAACTCACAAAGCGCTCCTGTATCAAAACCATGCAGTTTTAAACAAATACCTTCTTTGCGCCTTTCCTGTCCCCCACACTACACAAAATCCCAAATATGGAGACCAAGATGAATAACACACCAGCTTCATTCTCTCCAGTGAGCCAAAGGTGGCACCACAAATTCATTTTTCAGTGCTAATGAATTGAAGTCCACCAGCCCTTCTCACGTTATGACTGCTCAGCAGAAGCCGGTTTCTGTGGCTGAACCACAGATTACCACTTGAACTTTCATTTTATCTGATCAGCAGCAAAACAAATCAGAGGAACCTCAAGAGTACCAGCAAGGGGAGACCTCTCCTCTCCCTTCATCTCTTTAGACACCTGAGAGGCAAACAGTGAGAGCGAACCTCAAACCCCGCCCTCCTACGAGGGGGAATCACACGGCACCTGAGCGACGCTGGAAGCCACGTGCTTTAGGCAAGTACTGAGATGCCACGCTCCAGTCTGCCTCCATGCCACACGCCTTCTCAGAAGACATGCCATTTTATCACCTCTTAGGAACATTAAATATGCATGTGTACTCAAAAACGGTTTATAATAGCTGTAAATGAAAAATGAGAAACTAAATGGCCTCAAAATAAATGCGTTTTTTACACTGGGTAACAATTAACATTAATGAGGAGTTACACCATACATTATGCTAAACTTGGTTGACTATATATGTTAGAAATATATTTTAGAAAATAAAATATATTTTGTTAACATAAAAATAACTTTTGTGTGTGTGTGGGGCAGCGGAGTGGGGGGACTGACACAGCAGATGCTTATCAAAGATAAAAGAATAACAATTAAAGAATCAAACATTCATAATTAGTGTTAACAGCACAGCTTATGCCTATTACAAATGTATTAATTAAAGTAATATATTCATAAGGTTAGAGGCTTAATACATTTCTAAGAGGGGGAGAGAAGTCTCCAAGGCTCAAAAACCAACATAAAAAATTAAGGGGTGTGAATTATCCACATCTGCTTAAGACCAACTTGAAACACAGACATTCCTGTGCCGGATGAATGGAAATTCCTACAGGCTGTCAGGGTCTTCCCAGCTGTGGCTGTCATGACGATCACTTCCAGTTGCCTAACAATGGGCACACGTGTCTGGAGCCACGCGTCTACCCCACTTCCTACCTTGTGGAGTCTACGGAGGGCTTCGTCCGCCCCTGGCTGCCCTCTTCCCAGACGCTGTTGGCTAGCTCGTTCCCGATGGACGACATCACCTTGATGAGCTCGACTGGCCAGTCATCTAGGTCCAGAGATCGCACTCGGGAAAGGTGGGTGCCAAGATTCCGGTGGATCCCTGAGCACTCGATGCACATGAGGGCTCCCAAGTTCAAACTGGCCCAGTTAGGATCTGGGGGAAGAGGAAGAGAATGCTAAACGCAACCAGACATCATCTCTCGTTCCAAGTGTTCTTGGAAGCATGAGGCCGCGCATCAGGCAAACTTCACAGCAACAGGCTCATCCTAGAATCACATCCGCGGCTTGAAAATGCTCCTGAGCCAGGGCCCAGGCCTGTTTTAGGTGTCTCAAATGCCTGGCAGTGGGTAGCAGCTTCAGAACACATTTGGCTTAAGCCAAAGGCTTGGGATTTCTCACGCAATCAAGAACTGAAAGCGTTGGTTTGGATAGAAAAGATGCCCTTTCCCATAGGTCACAGCAGCATTCACCTTGAGGGGTCTGACCCGCGTGGGAAAAACACGTGTCTCTCGGCATCCACTGTGGCCAGCTGCTGCCGAGACGGAAGGAAAAGTGGTGCCGAGGGGCAGCTGGGGGACACCGTGACTCTGGTCAATCCCTCACTGCCACCTCTGTAGCCACCGGCATATCAGAGTCTACAGTAGGTACACAACGGGCATGCTTGCAAATTTCAAAGAGGAGGGAGAAAGGACATGACAGTGAAGAAAGATCGTTTTCAGTTATCTTATTTAACTACAGCTGCTGCAGCGACTGCTCTGCAGGCAAGTTGGTAGGCAGGGGTCTTTGGTTAGGTTCACGCAGCGCAACCAGTGCTGACTTGCGGAATGAATGGTGATGCCTGTCAAACTTGGCCAAACACTAGTGCCAGGATTGTGCAGGACAACCAACCAGTTCAGACGGCAGCACTGGGACCCCAGAGCCGGATCACTCACTGCGTGAAGCTGGCTGGCATCATCAGAAGACCAGGAAATCAGGCCGAGGTTGACTTAATGCTAGACTCTACAGCTGATTGGAAGAGATAGGGTTGACCTTGACAGTCAACGACTTTCACCACTGTACATGGATACAGCTTACTCACCTGGGAATAGGCAATGTTTGCTCTGGGCATACTTGAAGAGTCAACAAAAGACCAGGTAGCTCAGGTCACATTTGACTCACGGGGGAGACATCCTTTTTTTTTTTTTTTTTTTTTTTTGAGTCGGAGTTTCGCTCTTGTTACCCAGGCTGGAGTGCAATGGCACAATCTCGGCTCACCGCAACCTCCGCCTCCTGNCAGGCTGGAGTGCAATGGCACAATCTCGGCTCACCGCAACCTCCGCCTCCTGGGTTCAGGCAATTCTCCTGCCTCAGCCTCCTGAGTAGCTGGGATTACAGGCACGCGCCACCATGCCCGGCTAATTTTTTGTATTTTTAGTAGAGACAGGGTTTCACCATTTTGACCAGGACGGTCTCGATCTCTTGACCTCGTGATCCACCAGTGACCAGCAATAGCCTTGCGCAAGTTGATCAGAAGTCAGAAAACCACCCATTTAACAGGAAGGTGGCGATAGATACCACCAGACATGCAGGAAGAGGCCAGGTGCAGTGTCTCACACCTGTAATCCCAGCACTTTGGGAGGCCAAAGTGGGTGGATCACCTGAGGTCAGGAGTTTGAGACCAACCTGGCCAGCATGGTGAAATCCCGTCTCTACAAAATTACAAAAAATTAGCCAGACATGGTGGCAGGTGCCTGTAATCCCAGCTACTTGGGAGGCTGAGGCAGGAGAATCGCTTGAACTTGAGGCAGAGGTTGCAGTGAGCTGAGATGGTGCCACTGCTCTCCAGTCTAGGCAACAAAGCAAGACTCCTTCTCAAAAAACCAAAGAAAGAAATCTGAGAGAGGTCTATGACCTCAGAGAGGTTCCGACTGGGAAGGGGAAACTTATATATCAAATGGAAAACAAACAAACAAACAAAAAACCAAGCAGAAGAGAACAGAGACATTCAGAGACTCAATGCTGAAAAATGCAGTTCGCACCAATGAGCAGGTGGCAGGGGAAGGAAGAGGGCAGCGGGGACAGGAAGGATAGCCACATGGAAGAGGCCCTGGCCTGGGGATGTGGAGGGTGGAGATGTGGCACACAGCTGGCGTGGACCCCTCCTCGCTGTGGCTCTCCCTTTGTGTCTGCACAGCCTACCTCCCCGCTGGCCCCCTCTGCTTAGAGACAGGTAAGGCTGGGGCTGACTGAGGGCAGGGCCTCGCCTCCGCTCCAGCAGAGTAGAATGACTCATCAGCAAGGGTTAGTATCTGAGCATCATCACTGCCATTTCCTTGGAAGACATCTTAAAGCCAGCTGGGACGCTTTGCTGTCTCGGCCGGGTGGGGAAGCTTGGCCTGTGGCTGATCCCAGCCTCCTGGCCTGGCCTCAGACCTCGGAGCTCTACTGCCCCCGACCTGGCTTCAGGTACTGCTTTCAGGCGTGGTGGCCCCACAGCCCCAGGCCTGCCCTGCTTGCTTTCCAGGTCCCCACACCTCTGTACGTGCCCCCTGCCAGCACAGCCTTTCCACCTTTGTCCTCTGCAAGCCTCTCGCTCTCCAGCCTCAGCTCGCCTCCTGAGAAATGAGGCTAACAATTTCCCTCAAGGGGCTGACGGAAGGATTAGAAGCTATGAGGCACTTAGCGCGGTGACTGCCCCATAGGAAGCACAGTGTTAGGTGTTGGCTGTAATTACATCTGTTCCTTCACGTATTCAACCAGTATTAACACACTGGCTTCTGGGGATACGGCAGTGAACAAAACGGAGAAAAATCCCTGCTCACAGAAATGTAGGACATAGAGTCTATGGGGACAGACCAACCAGGAAGTAATAAAAAAACCTGGCCCGGCACGGTGGCTCACGTCTATAATCCCAGCACTTTGGGAGGCCAGTGGGGGAGGATCACCCAAGGCCTGGAGTTTAAGACCAGCCTGGGCAACATAGGAGACTACATCTCTACAAAAATTATAAAAATCGGCCGGGTGTGGTGGCATGCATCTGCAGTCACAGCTACTCAGGAGTCTGAGGTGGGAGGAGCTGGAGTCTGGGAGTTTGAGGCTGCAGCGAGCCATAATTGCCCCGCTGCACTCCATCCCTGGCTATAGGGCGAGACCCTATCTCAACCCACCCGCTGCTCCTGCCCAAACCAGCAGAGAGCTAAGAAAACCGTGTGATATGCCGGACCTAGGAAGCCCCCAGGGCGGGACAGCAGGGAGTAGGGATGTGTGTGTGTGTGATTTCAAACCTGGTGGTCAGGGAAGGCCTAAGAGGCAACAGTGGGCAGAGATCCGAAGCTGCGGGAAGATGGTTCTACTTGTGTGCCAAGCTGGAGGCAGGAGAACCTGGATGTGCTCCTGCCGCAGGCTGTGTGGGGATATCTGGCGGTAGTGGTGGGTGTCAGTCCCCTCCTGTGCATAGGCCTGGAGTCCACAAAGGGAAATAAGACATCAGAAAGGCCCAGGAGAGAGAGGCAGCTGTGAGGTCCACACAGCAGGGTGGGAGAAGGAGGGGGCAGCGCACAGTCAGCTCTGACCAGGGCTTCATGGGAGACATGGATGAGCAGACAGAAATAAGCAGAAAGGCTGGGCTGCCGGGCCAGGTGCGGTGGCTCACGACTGTAATCCCAGCACTTTGGGAGGCCAAGACGGGTGGATCACAAGGTCAGGAGTTTGAGACCAGCCTGACCAACATGGTGAAACCCTGTCTCTTCTAAAAATATAAAAATTAGCCAGGCGTGGTGGTGCATGCCTATAATCCCAGCTACTCAGTAAGGTGAGGCAAGAGAATTACTTGAATCCGAGAGGCGGAGGTTGCAGTGAGCCAAGATTGTGCCACTGCACTCCAGCCTGGGACACAGGGAGACTCTGTCTCATAAAAAAGCAAAAAAAGAAGGCTGGGCTGCCTCTCAGGGCCTGTCCATGAAGGTCAGACTTGTTGGTGAGAGCCACTGAGGGTCCCAAGCTCCAGCATTCTCAAGGGCCCTCAGGTAGAGATTCTCTTTGGCATGTTCCTGGCAGAAGGCTGGCAACAGGTGTCCTAAACCCCGACTGTCCATTGGGTCTGGGACACGCTGGGTTGGGCCGTGCTGAACGCTATCTTCAGGGCAGGACTTCCCGGAAGCACAGGTCACAACTTCCTGGGAGGCAGATGTTAAGTTTCCCAAATTCACTGGCTCTCAGAATCCCTTTAGAGACAGGCACCCCCGAAGCTCCAGAAGCTCAGTGTCCAGTCTGGAAACAGTGTTCTGGGATGTGCTCAGGGTACAGACAGAGGGGGCTCCTGGTGGTCTAGGGTATTCTCTGCAAGAACCGGGAGCCAGGAAGCTGTTACCACAACTCCAAATTCCACGTTGCACACAAATCCCCAAGCCTCAAAAGACGTACCATTCAGACAAATGGTGCTAACTCTGCAGAGAGAAGGCTTACAGATCTTTCCCCTGAACACCTTAAATATTCCTTAGGTTCATCTAGACTCAATGGCCTACCCCTTTTTCATTTTACAACACACTAGGAAGTTTCTTCATCTTAATTAAGACTTTTTTTTTTTTTTCTCAAGATCAAGTCTCACTCTGTCGCCCAGCCTGGAGTGCAATGACGTGATCTCGGCTCACTGCAACCTCCGCCTCCTGAGTTCAAGCAATTCTCCTGCCTCAGCCTCCCGAGTAGCTGAGATTATGGCGCCCACCATCATGTCTGGCTAATTTTTGTATTTTTAGTAGAGATGGGGTTTCACCATGTTGGGCAGGCTGGTCTCGAACTCCTGACCTCAGGTGACCCACCCACCTCGGCCTCCCAAAGTGCTGGGGTTACAGGGATGAGCCACCATGCCCGGCCTCAATTAAGTCTTTTTCCATGATTTTTAAAGGTAGCTATGGGAAGACATTACCATGAACTGCTCTTCAATTGTTAAACATTTGGGATGCTTAGATTTTTTGCCATACAAAGCACTGTGATGAACATCTGGAAACACAGACCTCTGTGCCCGCCTTGCTCAATCCCAGCGGTTTAGTTCCTGGAGTACACGCTGGAGTCAAGGGCATCCACTCTTCAAAAGCTTTTTAGATACGTTGTCAAAAGGAGGTGTTTATATTTGATTTCTATACGTTGTCAAAAGGAGGTGAAACATAAACACCTCCTTTTGACAATATATCTAAAAAGCTTTTGAAGTGTGGGCACTGTACCTATCCCAGTACTTTCACCAAAATTGTGTGTTTTTACTTAACAAATCCTTGTCTGTGCCACTTGTGCCCTTCATCTGAGCACTTCCAGTCTTCTCAAGGCCCTTGTTCTTGAGAAAACACAGCAGGCTGGCCAAGAGCTTGGTCTGAATTCTGCTATGGGATTTGCTATTTCTGTGACCTCATTGGTCACAGAATGACCTAACCCTTCAGCCTCCTCAATTCCTCCCCTTTAAGTGGGGCCCACAGGAGACCCAAGTATTAGGGTTGCAGGAATGAATAGACAGTGCGTGCAAGGGTTTGTCGCGGGCCTGACACAGACCACGCGTTTAGCAAATGCATGCGTGGTACCGCTCCTTTCTCCTGAATTGTCAAACTCTGCCTTGTCCCTCTGTCCCTGTCTACCTGCTCAGGTGGTCTTGCTCCGAACAAACTGGCCCCCATCTCCCCCGCACTGGCCTCCCTTTTGCACCCCCATCTGCACTCACATGCATAAGCTCATCTCAGAAAGGACCTGTGACCTCCAATTTGACACGTGTCAAACTACTGACATTTTCCTTAATGGATGTTCTCATACTGCTCAGATTTGTGGTTTTAAAAAAAGTTCTTACTTTTAAAACTTTTTGATAAAAGCACTTCAAATAACTGCTTCTCACTTCGAACTTCATTTCACCACATGGTTGAAAGTAAAACTTAAAAATTCAAACATAAGGAGATACTTTAAAGGAGTACTTCAACAGACCTGGAGAAGAACCCCTTCCCTCACCTGCAGGACGGGCTTCATCTCTCCCCTGGCTGCTATGCCGGTGAGTGGACTCTCAGAGGGGCGCTTCCCTTCCCTTTTGTCTGGAGCAGTCCTGGGCTCCCGTCTCCCTTTGCGGCTGAGCCAACCCTGGCTGGCCTCCTCCCGGCTTTGCCTCTCTATTCCAGTCTATTCAGAATGGTCTGGCCACATCCGTCTCCCCAAGTGCAGCCCAGGGTCCATCTCCTTCCTGCTCTAAAACTCCAATGATGTCCCTCTGCTTACAAATGAAGAACAAAGCTGGACACTTTCACCTAGCACTCACACTCCAATTGGCTTCTACCAGCTTTCCAGCCCAAACAGCACCTCTGATCCTAAAGCGACCCAGAGAAGCTCTCCTCGAGCCGCCCCCTTGCTCGCAGTGATTCCTTCAGCCCCTTCCCTGTACAAGCCCTGCCCATCTCCAGAGCCTCGCTAGCACGGCAGCTCCTGCGTGAGTGGCAAGGCCGCCGTGTGCCCCTAATGGCTCTCCCAGAGCTTAGCTCTGTGGTCAGCAGGTCAGTGCCTTGCCCAGTATGTTTCAGGCTTCAGGATGGCAGGACCCACCACGTCATGCATGTTTCACTCCTGGGCAGCACCCGGCCTGGTACAAGCACCTCTTCCCCTGTTTGAACTGGACTTCCTTCTCTTCACAACACTACTTAACAAAACAATTTCAATGGAAGAAGTTTCCTGAACATCTCCAATACTGTCCTCTTGGCTGGGGCTGCAACATGACAAACAAGTCCCCACCCTCAAGACTATGAACAACAAAATGGCTTTTTCAAAGGGAAAAGAATAGCATGGATTACACGACTGACGCATGAAATAAAACTGGGTTACTCTACGGCACCAAGCAGTAATTACAACTTCTACCAATTCACTCAGAGGCTTTAGAGGGTAATAAATTTAAGCCCCCCTCCCCCCTCAAAAAAAGACAGCAAAACCCAGGACACATGATTGTGACATTAAAAACACAATATCCAGAAATCTCTGGGCAGGAATGAACCAATTACATTCTATTTTGATGGAAAAAAAAATTAGTAAGTGATCACTGATTAGGCAAAAAGTCAGCCACCATGCCTGGCTGATTTTTGATGTTTCGTAGAGATGGGGCTTCTCTGGGTCGCCCAGGCTGGTCTTGAACTCCCAGGCTTCCTAGATTTGGCACAGGCTGGGGGTGTGGAGCAGAATCCCGTGCACTCCTGGTGTGACTGTTGTTCACCAGATGCCCAAGACGCAGGAAAGACGCACAGCAACGCTCCCTGCAGCCAGGGGCGAGCTTGTGTGGAAGGCTGTGTTCAGCACAAATCCAGAGTATTTCAGTTCTCTAAAAGCAGTTACCCTTATCTGCCAAACAGGGCAGATGCCTGTCCCCTGCCACCTGGGCCTAGTGGGACCACGTGGTCTCCAGCTGCAGAGCGCCAGCCCCTGCTGCCGCGCACACTTACTCGGGGTCTCGCAGTCCACACAGTGGGAGTTCCCGCGCATGTTCCGGATCGACTGCAGGGCCATGGCCTCACTCTGGCTCGTCAGCCGGGACTGGTACGAAGGAAGACACAAATACAAGGTGTGAGCACCCCGGGAGAAACATACATGACTGGTAACGTCAGGGAAAGATCAAACAGACTGGGAACAAATGTAGGATGAGGGTAATTTCCAATCAGTCCTGTTCTGACGTCTTTGGTAAAGAGCGTAACTGAAGGAGAAATTACCATGTGAGGGTCGTCACATTTTAGCACTCATCAGCTGAGATGCACTCTGCCAGAAATGAGCAAAGGGGAAAGTTCTGGATCATCTGTGAATCAATATGGACCATGATCACCTGGATAAGGTAACTGGGTAACCTTCTGGGCAGTAGCCACGTTACTTGGTATGAAGAATGAGAAAGAAATATGTTTTTAAGGCCAGGGTCTTCATCAGCGCTGTAAGAGCTATCTCATGGTTCCTTGTCAGTAAACCCTATCCATACCACACGACACCCTGGGAGATGCACCTGTCATCTGAAGACTCTCAGTTGCCACAGTGACAAAGCCACTCGCCAGGGTGGGGGCAGGGAGAAACCTGAGTATAGCTGGGGTTGTTATTCTTAACCTTACACTTGATGACTTATTTAGTATTATTATTTTTTAAGCCAGAATCTTTGTTGCTGAGGCTGGCGTGTAGCAGTACAATCATAGCTCACTGCAGCCTTGAACTCCTGGGCTCAAGTGATCCTTCTGCCTCCCAAAATGTTGAGATTATACGTGTGAGCCGCTGTGCCTGGCTCTATGGTCTTCTTTAAAAAGGATTTAAAGGCCGGGTGTGGTGGCTGACACCTGTAATCCAAGCACTTTGGGAGGCCGAGGCGGGTGGATCACAAGGTCAGGAGTTTGAGACCAGCCTGGCCAAGATGGTGAAACCTCGTCTCTACTAAAAATACAAAAATTAGCCGG